TCTTCCTCTCTCTTTCTCTCTCTCTCTTTCTTTCTTTCATATTCCTAACAGTGTTATCACAGTATAGATATGGGGTTGGGCACTGAGGGTAAAAGAATTTGGTTGTGCCTAGGCAGTCAGTATCTATGTAATAATGGAGTTCAATTTTAACTAATATTCATTTTCATGTTACATGTAGATGTTTTTGGTATAGTTTTCTAAAAGTGACTTCTGGCCCTAAGTGCCATATGAAAACTTGTTGGATTTTCCACATAAAACTGAATAGAGCCCTCCTTGGTGACACAAGGTGTTACACCTGAACACTATGAAGCTATTGGCAGTCACTGCAACAGGAGTTTAAGCTCTGTCTAAGGAGCTCCCTCAGCAGTATATTTCAGTCAATCTGCCTGTTCTGCTCTCCACTCTTTCTCTGGTGAAGACTCTCACCTTGCATACCTCTGATCTATGCCCCAGCTCTTATATGCATAAATAAATAAAAAAATCTTTTTTTTTTAAACCCTGAATGTTAGCTCCTTAATATCCTCTACTCCCAGGAATCTGGACTGTATAGATTTCTACTATAGCATAGTGCCTACACACATCAATGCATAATTTTTTATGTCTGTTTTCCTCAACCAGAACACACTTGTTGAAGCCATAATCAGTGAGTAGTTTAAAGAACATGGCTCCACCATGTAACTTTTCTCGTACCTAGCATATCAAAAGCACCAGAAAACTACCTATTGGATGTTTTTGATAACTAAAGTTTCATATTACCCTTATTTATGCTTTCCCTCTTAATGTTTATGACTAAGTTATGCCAAATCAAGGATATTTGTGAGGATACATCAAATATAAATGAAAATTTTGTCCGACTTATATTAGAATACGCAGTCTCTCCCAAAGAATGTCTAGTTGAGTTTTGTTGTTGTTGCATGATTACATAAAGTAAAGTAGGCTTCCCTTCTGCTGTCCTTCAAAAAGTCTGTGACATATGAACTGTGTGAACTTCCAAGTTTTTCAAATATGGCATGTGTTGGTGTATATACTATAAGCATCTATAACCAACACATGTATCTTATCAGTTCATTGGCAGTGTTGCTGGACCAACTCAGTATCTTTCTCCTGAAGTAGATTCTCTGTCACAATAATTTTGGAACAGGGAGGGGAGAGGGGATCTTGAGCACAGGGGGGATACTTGAACACAGGTGGCCATTCCTTGCAGATAAAAATATTGTGGGAGGTGCCCTCCCTGGTGGTGCAGCGGGTTAAAGCACAGCACTGAGAATCTAAAGCTGCTTCCGCGTGGCATGAGTTCAATTCCTGCTTGCCCCGGAGGTAACCACAT